CATACGTTAACTTAAGATGATCCAAACAAAGTAAGGAAAGCAATCCCAAATGCTTTCATTTACTTAAAATTATTTGGCAGAGAATTCGACACTTTAAGGGTGGTCTGGGCCTGGCTGGGGCGATGGTACTCGTGCCCACAGAGAGGGCTCTGAGTGCCACTTCTGGCACCTGTGCCATAGGTTCGCCACCACTGCTCTAAGCTGTCTCACGAGCAAAAATTCTACTTTGTGAGCCACTGGCATTAAAGTTGTGAGCGAGCCATTTGGTTACTGCATAAATTAGTTTGCTCAGGAGCCCTCCTTCCTGAGCGAAGACAAAAATGTGTGAGAGCCGGAGGCTAAAAAACTGTGAGCTGACTCACAGTAACTCAGTTTAGAGGGAACACTGGTCTCCAGGGGATGGAGCTCAGTTCTCCTGGAGAAAACAGCTGCTTTGGAAGGTGGACCTTAGGGGATTGCACCCGGCTGATGTCCCTCCCCTCCTCAACCCCCCCTCCCCAGACTCCACCCCCCCCAAAATCTCTAGGTATTTCCCAGCCCAGAGATGAGTACCCTAATGTTTAATCTCTCACTGCTGGACTGATTCAGGTGGGTAGCCATGTTGGTTTGAAGCAGCAGGAAAAAGTCTGAGTCCAGTGGCACCTTTAAGTCCAACAAAATGTCAGGCTTCCCCACAGCATCAATGAAGTACACTCTTGCAGAAAGGTTTTACTTTATTTGAAGCTATAGGTGCATGTACAGGATCACTGTCAGGAATGAGGGGGGAGCGACGAGCATGGCAGGTTATAGTACATTCAAACAACTGAGGCCCAATTGCGGGTTTCCCGCGCGTGCCATCGGGCCTGGGAGCAAACGCTTCAAGGCAGCATAACATATCTCCTTCCCACGGTTCTTCGTGAGATCACCCAAGCAACTATCCAGCAGCAACCACCTGTGGCCTTGAGAGATATAGACGTTCCAGCAGCTAAGCAAGCTTCTAGGCGGCATAACATATCTCCTTCCCACGGTTCTTCGTGAGATCACCCAAGCAACTATCCAGCAGCAACCACCTGTGGCCTTGAGAGATATAGACGTTCCAGCAGCTAAGCAATTAAGCGCATCAACAGGTCAACATATGAAAGTGAAAGCAATCAAGCGCATACATTGAGAACCAACAGAAAAGAAATTTGGCAGCTTGCTGACACGAAGTTTAATTCTGGATAAAAGCTTTCGTATGCTCATAGCCAGAACCAGCCCCATAGTGGGGGGCCATCTGGGGGCAATGCCTCCCCCAACAGATTCGCGCCACCCCCTTGGACAAAAATTCAGAAAAAAATTCAAAAAATATTTTTTTAAATGGAAGATGTGCATGGGGGTTCCAAAATGACCCCAGGCACAGTCAGGGAAGCATTGGTCTCCTTTTTCTCTTTTTTGGGCTGAGAAATAAATGTGGAGTTTTTTTTTTTAAAAAATGCAAAATAAAATAATTGCAAAGTAAAAATAAAATTGCAAAATGCAAAAGAGAGAGTTGGGGATTCCTCCCCTTCCCCGGCTTACACAGAAAAGCAGCCCAGAATTGAGTCTCTCCAAGTGAGAGCACTAGAGGAGGACCAGAGTTCACAGAGGAGCCAGAAGATTGACTCTCTGGCACTCTACCCCACTGAAGTCCCCCCCTCCCCCAAACCCCACCCTCCTCAGGCTCCACCCCCCCAGATCTCCAGGTATCTCCCAGCCAAGAGCTGGCAACTCAGGGATGCCAGCCCTACATAATCCTGCACAGGACTGTGCTACCAGTGTCTTGGCAAGTGGTTATGCACAGCATAGAGGTGAAGCAGGCCCTCCTTTCATGTTCTGACAACCAAGAATGAGCCTGGATCTGGCCACATGCGCAACCCAAAGGGGTTGCACAAGAAAACTGTGGTCCCTACGACCTGCTATCGTTTTTAACAGTTCAAAATGAGCATCGCTAATCCGTCATGTGTGAAATACATCAGTTGGTATGCATGCACATGCATGTGAGAATACAGGAAGCTGTTGTTTTTGGAGTCACGCCACTGGTCCATATAGCTGAGTGTTGTCCAATAACATTGGACGATAGGTGAAGCCTTCAGTTCTCCTGGAATTACAATTGATCTCCAGACTACAGACATCAGTTCCCTGAAGGAAATGGCGGCTTTGGAGGGTGAGCTCCCTTCCCCAGGCAGTGCCCCCAAACCTCCAAGAATTTGCCATGCTGGTACTAGTAACCCCGAATGGTGTCTTCCAGGGTCTCTGGAACCAGTTTTACTTCTGTAAACTTATGAATGATGTTGGTATGCCATGTTTCTACCAACACACTTACCTTGGCTTCCCATTGAATCAAAAACGATAGGCGGGGGAACAAACTGAGAGCCAGTTTGGCGTAGTGGTTAAGCATGCGGACTCTAATCTGGGAGAACCAGGTTTGATTCCCCACTCCTCCACCTGCAGCTGCTGGATGACCTTGTGCAAGCCGTAGTTCTGTCCGAGCTGTTCTTGAAAGGGCAGTTTCTATCAGAGCTCTGCCAGCCCCACCTACCCCACAGAGTGTCTGTTGTGGGGAGGGGGAGGGCAAGCTGCTCTGAGACTCCTTCGGGTAGTGAAGGGTGGGGTATATATTTGCTAAACGTTTACTTGCAGAAAAGTGGAAAGATTCTTCAACACCTACAATTGAACAGTGGGTCATTAAATTATGGGACCTTTTTATAATGGGAAAAATTACTAATGCATCAACTTCCGAGTTCTGAAGACAACAGAAATGTGTTCACTGTGGTCTCCTATTGTTGAATGTTTGTCTACATCAAAGCTATTTCCCTCTAATCCTTATTATCGAAAAGTGTGTTATTCGTAATAGTCTTATCTATACAAAATGTTTTATATTCTTGGACAATGATATGTTTTGTGTATGCATTTTAATAAAACTATTTTTAAAGGGTGGGGTATAAATCCAATCTCTTCTTCTTTTCTTCAGATTCAGGTACCATATTTTGAATCACTATTATGAAATAACAAGGTGGAACTGCTGCTATGGGAAACAGTTCTGTGAGAAGCAGAACCAAAGAGCTGTTGGTTGGTCCTATGAGGGGGGGGGAGGCTGTCCCTGGTCTAATGTGGATATAATACTATTTTTAGAGTTAGGGGTCATTTTGTAGAAAAAGAGGTGCAGGAGCTTATTAGCATAACTCATTAGCATAATTCATTTGCATGTGCCACACCCCCTGACATCACCGGAAGTGTGTCAGAAGGGTTGCCCACCGCTCAGGCTCCACTGGACTGTTTTGGATTGCTAGCTATT